ATATATCATGTATCGCGAGCATTAACATATCTGAATTAAAAGTATTGTTGATACAGACTTATATTCATAACCATCACTGAATAGGACCTAGCAGCAATTAAACAAAAGATGCAATTGAACCCTTTCGCCCGTAGTTCAGCACACACCACTCGCCGTACATTTTTTTTTTTTTTACAGCAGAAAAGGCTTGGTGACAGTTACACTTTGACTTGTCGACGCTGCACTGAGATTGACGAGCTACTGAATCTATTTATAACATTCTTTCACCATGTCCTTTAGCTTACAAGTTCATTAAAGAAGACTTCCGCTCGCTGGCTTTGAGGAGAATTTCAAAATGATCTCACATGGCGTTGAGCATCGTGATATTGAATCCCGGGCACCAACGCTTGAGTCCCATACCAGCAAGAGTGCATGCCCCATTACTTAAATATATGTTTCGCGAGGCGGAGAAATCAAAGACAAACTATTTAGCGACCATAGTTTCACGCGCCTTGCAGCCGCGAGATCGCAGTACTCGATGTCCGGTGAACAGAAATCTTGAAATTTTTTTTAACTTCCCACACTGATTTTTTTGTTCACTTTTGGACAATGTGGATATAATTGTAAATACAATCTGTTTCTGGAAAGAAAGTAGGGGTCACGGAACGTCCAAGATCGTTAAATCCAAGTAAAGCTATAGCAATGGCCATCTGCCCCATCATTGTTCATTTTAGTGCTTGGCGCGTGCGCTTTATGCATGACGTAGCGTGTGAATTTGAGTGCGCAGGAAGGATGTGCAGAAACAGTTAGCACGAACGTCCTTAAATGCTTCCCAATGCGGCTGACAGCCGTTAGCAGTGATAAAAGATCATTGCAGGGCGTGGGATGTTTTCTCTACTGGTCAGATTCAAAGTTCAAGAATATGTCTGGGAGGACTGACGCGAACAAGTGCAGTTAATAGTAAGTTGAGTGGTGCCACATGGGAGCTGGAGAAACCTTGACCTGTGTCAATGTCTTTCATTGAAGTGGAGCGAATGTTGAGTTATTTGGCTAGTGCTGCTTCTGAGAACTGTTTTCTATCAATTCGAGAAAATGCTTTTTAAATTTCACCGGCAGTTTTAATGGAGCTCAGTCACGGTATTTTGAGTTATTTTGGCCACATACAAAATTACCCTTAAATGGTAGGAAACCTGAAAATATTAAACAGTTTAATAAAATAGCAAAACACCAAAGAGATAATGATAAACCATAAAGGAACAAGGATGGCTAAGGATGGAGAAGATTAACACGGATTGCAAACGACGAATTTGAAAAATTGAGGCTAAACTTAATGCGCAAACCTTGACGTACAGCCTTTTAAGCCCCTTGTTGTAGTAGTTACGGGAGTGAACCAACGCTTCTAAACTGCCCACGTATTTGAAATTCATTTGTGCAGCCCCCTCACTGATTTCTGTACTGTTAAGAAATAAATTAAAGCGTTATCGGCCTGACTCTGAGTGTCATTCAGCAACGAGAAACATATCAACAAGGTGGAACTACTTTTTAACATAGATTAATTTTGAGATTCCGAACCACAAAGGATACGGAAGGTATGATTGAATGGTCTCTACACGACAACTTCATGATAACCAAACAGACCACCGAGGCCTTGTCCACAGGCCGGAGAAATTTGAAAACGGCGTTTTTGTTTTCACTCTGAAAACGTATCAAACGTTATCCATCCACACTACCGACAGAGAAATTTGAAAACGCAACAATCATTTTGGATTTGTGTTTCAGCTGAAACTTGGCAGGAAAATCAAATGATTATCGTCGTGTCATCGTTAACAAAGAGCTCCGTTTCAGAATATTTTTAGTCCATAGTAAAACGCAAAGCCAGCGTTTTCAAATTTCTCCGGTTTGAAGAGCGCTTTCGAAAAGCTCCGCTTTGTGACGGATTAGTGTGGACAGTAGGCCTAGCCATAGAAATCAAGTTGCGTTTTCAGATTTCTCCGGCTTAGTGTAGACATTATTAGACTGATTTATGGATTGCCGGAGGCTTTGAGAATGTATGCGGTCCAAGATTTTCATATATATTTTTGGCGATGGTTATTTCATTCAGTGTAAAGCCTGTAGCTAGCTGTTCGGCGGTTGCGAGGCCTTGTCGATGTGCCAGTGACGTAACGAAACCGCAAGTCGGAAAGCATTGCATGTTTCAGTGATAAAGAAACGTGTCACTCTTTTAAAACTGAAGCTGTAAGAAGTTGTTTTCTTGATCATGATACTGTCTACAGACTGACTAGACCTTTTTGAGTAATAACTTGCATGCCTTAAATTTCAGCTTCTAATTCCCCGAGCAGCATGGAAACTCTTACTGAGAAATTCAGAAACCCGTCTACTCTTCGTAAAGTAGCAAGTGCTCTGGGAAAAGACAAAAAAATTCCCTGAGCAAACTTGAGTTTAAAATTACAGCTTTTTCAAATAATGGTGAAATTATTGGAAGTGCTAACATTCTAACAGCATCCTTTGTTTTGAGATTTAAAACGATTTTTATGCCGAAATTAGCGAGCAAATGCAAATCAGGTTTAACTTAACAATTATGCAAAAGCTACAGCTAATGTCTGTCAGTTGATTAATTAGAAAACATGTCGGGGACGATCGTGATGTGATAAGGCATTGGCAAAATAAAGCAAGGATGCCATCCGATCGGTATCTCGTTGAAAAAAAGGGAAAAATGTGAATAGACGTATTTTTGCCGTCTTAATAACCATAATCACTGAAATAATCAATGATGGTAAAAGATATCCTACTGCGCAATACCGTGAAAAAGATTAACTTTCTCGAATGGACCATTTCATTTCACTTAACATCAGTCAAATGTTGGCAAAATCATTAGTCAAGATCACTGGGGTGTCGTAAATTTTTTACCTCACTTTTTGCTTTTCAAGGTTTTGCACTTTGATTTCGAACGTGAGAGAAATGACGCACAAGATTTAAAAAATTATGTTTTCCTGAAGTGGCCATGTCCGTTGACTATAGGATTATGTCAGGAATAGTTAACACAGCTGGTCTAGATAACTTGATGATATGACATAATACAGGGATTTTACTTTAGGAGTCGCATTTTACCGTTTGCTTTAGTTTAAAACTGACGCTAAATTTTTCTAAACCTTTTGTTGACGATCTGCACTGCACTCGAAGTTGTGGATACGGTGCAAAATTTTTAATTTCCCGCAGCTATTCGACATAATATACCGAGAGACGGTCCCATCTGTTAGGAATTGCGGTAGGGATTTATTTTTATAATTACTTGTGCAAGCTTTACAAGACGTTTCGTGTTGTTGCTACCTGGTATAGGGCCGCCGTTTGTAGCTGTTTTAAATTGACGTCTTATAAGTATACTAGAGAAGGAGCGAAATCTTACGTTGTTTTTTAATGCCTCTTATAGGAGCCCCGTTTGTGGCAACGCACTCGATGTGTGAAAGTGTAGCTGTTCGTAAATTGTTAATGGCATATATTTATCGCATAAAGCTAACTTTCAATCTTCACTTATTTACCTAAGTCGCAGGTGGGTGATAAAGTTCAATCCTCATAGACTAATTTGAAGCCAACTGCCTTAATTTTAAACTTGCTCCTGGAAATGTTATCAAAAGCGCATCAGCTAGGTACGTCCTTTTTATTGTTAGGGTTTCAAAAGATTCTTAATTACTTCGTTTTTAGATCATTCTGAAGGAACTAATCTGATTTGAAAGAATTAGCCATCGCAAATATATTTGATATGATCTCGAGAATACGTGCAGAGAAGGATAAATCCTATTCAATAACATTGAGGAAGCAATAATTCTGAGCCAATTGCATTTATTTTTCTTCTCGCGGAATTTACTCCGCACTTTTGTTCCGACAGCCTTAATTGAAAGATTCGTAAAAACGTTTGCAGTCTGGGGAGCAAGAGTTCGTAGGCTTGAATTCTGTTTATCCCGCGAACCCGCTCGCCTAAAGCTGCCAGCAGGGTAAAAACTCGAAATTCTTTTTCCGAGAAGCGATCTGTCTGAATATGTAATGTCTTGCTCATTGTGCCATGACCCCTAGCAAGATTTACGTATATAACCATTATTTCTTCCCGAACGAAAAATTAATTTTCTCTCTCTCTCTCATTTTTTTAATTGATAACGCACAACATAAAAAGGATATTCACATCTTCAATAGTGCAATACAAATGGAGTCGACAGAAGTAGCTACGTAAACGGCTTCTAAGATATTTTTAAAAAGAATTGTACGTAATCCAAACTGCATGCGAGCAATTCCTGGCGGAAACGGCGAAATTGCCCGAAACTGGCTAAAATTCGATTGTTAGGCAAATGAGAAAAGTTTACCGTGAAAAGGGCGATTGAAAATTTTCGTGAAGCCACTGCGCATGGCACTGTAAAAGTACAGTCCGAAGACCGAACGGTTCGAAAGTTTTCTCCTTTACCTTGAAAATTTAAAGTTTACAGCCGGTGAAAACTTTGCCGAGCGATGTTTACGTACTCCTGAGCACGTACGCTCAGAAGATTATTGACCTCTTGTTTTGTTTGATATGGAATCGAATGATGCAAAACCTGTTCCTGTGATTAACTTGTCGGTTCTTTGACAATAGCTCTGAAGACTTCGTTTGTTTACTCAACCGTCTCACCACAGTTGAAAACACTTAGAGCAAACAGTCATGGTCAGAATCGAAAGTCAGTACCAAGATAACAGCAAAAAAAAAATGCCATTGGAAAATTTATCACCTTTCCAAACGCTGATTTACAATTGTCTCAGCGTCATTCATGCATTTACTACGTCATCACGCGGTTTAACGCTGACCCCAACAGGAATTAACAACAATGCTGATCCAATCAGAATCCTTGTACCATTTGAGTTGCAGCTTGATCTTGATTTTTGTCTAAATTAATCTTTAGGGTTCCTCTTCAAGTGGCTTGACGCAGTTTGCTCAAGAAATGGCGGGATAGTTAGCAATGTTTTGATGGCTCTTTAGAGGACAAAGATGGTGACGCTTCGCTTGTTACTTGATGTCCACGTCGGCAAATGGTTATGTTTAACCTGGTTTTTGATAAATGTTCTGGACGTTCAAGGGACATTTCCAAGTAGCGATACTGTCACTAAAGCACGTTGCATCGCCAACTGCTACACTATGGTAAGTTAGCGCAAATAATGTTCAGTTTTAATGAGAGCGGTCGACAATAGATCAGCACGAATTCTTTACTACTCATGGCGCGCTTTAATATTAATCTCATTATGCAGTCTATACCTATGATAACAGGTAAATGTTAGTTATAAACTTTATTCCATTTTCAAATGACAACCTTCAATTAGTTCGTGTTTGATGCGGGAATGCATTGTCTATCTCAAACAGTGACAAATTATTTTGGTAACTGTTAGATGTCAAAACCAAATGTCGGCATTGAAGACTGACTTGGTTTCCTTTGTGGACTATTATATTGCTCTCGCAAAATAGCGGCATCATCGACCATTTGAAATCTACATATCACATTGCCGGTAAGAAGATTACTCGTTTAATAAACGGCGCGGTTTTAGTGAGAGACAATGCGGAACTTTTTGCAAAATGGAATGATATTAGGGTCTTAAATGATTTGGTTTCATTTTAAAGTCAGTATGATAACAACGATTTTTAAACGAGATGGCGGCTTCAATTAAACCGTGTAGAACTAATATTAGTGATAGATCCCTACACGTTATTTTAAATTAATTATTAGCCTCTACAACTATACACAAACCACAATATTGAAATAAAGGTTGTTACGCTTGACTAACGATGTAGAGAGATGCAACTATTCTAGCAGTTTCCGTTGAAACTCAGAAGTGCGTCAGACAGTTGAAATTCGCTATTTCGAACTCTAAAGAGAAAAGAAAAATGGTTCGAATTGGTGGAGTTCGAAAAAACCAGGTCAGCATTAAATATGAAAATAACAATTAATATGTAATCTACATGATGGAGTGCACTTTTTACTATATTGGCCCAAGGGCTGGAAGAGAACCTCTGAGTGTACAGTTCATCGCAGTTATGTACGGGCAGATGAAATTAAAGTGCCATGAAAGCCTAAATTGAAGTCTTCCAGCTATGTTCTAGCGTGGTCTGAGGTCGTGAAAATGTTTATTTTTCAACTCTACAAATGAAGTTCAAAATAAACAGATTTTACTTTAGGCCAAGGGAAACAGAAATTCCAAATAGCCAATAGTGAGTGACTGAAAAAACTAGGACAAATCCAGGAGAAATGTGTTTGAGTTCGGAATAACGGGGAATTCGAAATAACCGAATTCGAAGTAGCGGGATCCAAACGCGGAAAAAAAACTCACCAAAAAAAATTGTTTTTCCTGTTTGGATTTGGAGACAGATCTAATGATCTCGCATCCACTTATGAATTGCTATCTCCGTTAGAAAATTCGATAACAGCGCCAAATAATAAATTTGATTATTTTGTGATGTAAAATGCCGCATGTCCGGGAGAACCAAAAACTGCCAGTTGCCTCTAAAAGACTTAATGCTTATGGTGGATCTTTGTAAAATGAAATATAATATAGTTATCTTCTGAATCCTCAACAACATTTTAAACTACGCCACAATGGTACCAGATAATCGAACGAATGTTAATGCAAAGCTTTTTCGATTTCTGTAAAGAACTGTCCTTGAAAGTAGCACATTTACTTCCTTACTGAGTTTATAAATTAAAAGACTATTTCCGTTACTGCACTTTCACGAATTTGCGTTTAAGTCACGTATTATTCTTTGCGGGTATTTTTACTGATTTTTTAACAAAATGTCATAAAATAACAGGTTCAGAATAAGGCACAAGGTGAAAAACAATGTATATTTCAGATATCTCAACTTCGGTTTTAAAGTGAACTCGCTTGATGCGTTGCCTTGCGTTGTTCATAACTCGAATAAAACTGAACGTCCTGTGTCACTTATCTGTCAGTTTCAAAACATTTATCTCAGTAAGATGACTTTGATTAATTGATTAATTTGCATCACAAACCGGTTCTTGTATCAGATCATTTATTAACCTCACGAACATAATGCAAAGCTTCCCTTTGTTGCTGCGCTTAGTTGAAACTCTACAATATTAGCTGCAAAGCACTAGAGAACTTCTGACTTACTTACTGCTCGTTAGGGCTGATGTTCACTTGAGCATAAGCCAGCTAAGAAGCCGACTAAGATGTTATTTATTTACTGTTTTTCAAGGAAATTTACCTAACAAATGGCGCTAAGAACAACATAATACCAACTGTGTCTGTTTTTTGTTGATTATGCTTATGTTCATGTGCTTGTGAAAGTCAGTCTTTTGTTGGGAACGAATGATCACGATGTCTTCTTTTCAAGCGAGGATGTTTTCTATTCGTTTCAAGTCGTCCTCTATCCGATCATGATAGAATCCTACGCCTTTGTTATTGAAAAAGTTTAAAAACGATTTCAATACAAAACAATAGCTAGAAATCAATTTTAAGACATTTAAGAACTCTACTCGGCATTTGTATTTTCCCCCAATGTTTTAAATTTTCCTCGAAGATACTAGCCATATGAAGCCACCCCCATAATTTCGATTGTAGATAAATAAAGTTTACTTTTGTTTGTATGTGGTTGCCAAAACACAGAAAAATACGACGCGCATTCTCTTTTTTAACCAATTACAGCGAGAGTCATATCTTGTTTATCCAGCAGGTGATAAGTTTCTGGTTTACTTCATCTAGCGAAAGAACATCCAGTGTATAATTCGGAAATTTCTTCATATCACTTTTTTGAAGTCTTTTAAAAATTATAATTTAAAAAGCAATTAAAAAATTGCGCACAACTATTGATCTTTCTCTGGAAGGAGAAGGAATGAAACAAACCCTAATGTCCGTTCAACTGAATCGCTATTCCAGATCTACGGTATATTTAATAAACATTCTGCTCAGAGAGGTACAGCACTCAGAATAATAAAATCTAGAATAATGACGTGTCGCCGCTAGCTCATTTGTTCTGTCGCGGTCTTTGCAGAACAATGAATAGAAGGATCAGCTCCTCCGGCGTGAAAAAAATTAAAGGGAGCTTAAGCGATGACGACGGCGATGCCGAGGATGGATTATATTTTACTTTTGAATTTTGCAGTTATCTAGATCGGAGATGGCGCAAAAAAAAAAAAATTTAAATTTTGGTGATCAAAGGAAACAACGCTTTTTTTCATCATTTTATCGAGTTATCACAACAGTCATAGGTTTATGTTTGCGAGAACTCCGTGCGGCTGTAACAGCATTTTTCCTTCCTTAAAATTTTCATTCGTGTTTTGATAACCTTATAAAGACGCGGAAACTGTTTTATATTTCTGAAATGAAGTTAATTCGTTAGTAGAGATCCCCTTAGATGTAGAAAATGTCCACTGACCATGAAACATCAACTTCTAGTCGCTAACTCGACAAGTGTTATTTTTATTACAGACTGGAAGTCACAATAACGACTCGGAGAAAACTTGCCAGACTACAGCCTGTCAAGAGGTAATTTGCTACCATGGTAGATTTCCGTTAGTAACGATTGCAACGTTATTTTCAACCCGCCTAGCTCCCCCCGACCCCCTTTGCCTTTACTACTCTTTCCTCCTTAAATTACATTTCCAACTAAAAGGCTAATGCCCCTCCGCTAGTGATGAATGCTTTAAACCAACAATCGCGTTTTCAACGGGTTTTTATCTTGCTTTTATCGCGTTTTGCGTTTTTATTGCGTTTTTTAATCGCGTTTTCATTGCGTAGGATTTGATGTTTGCTTTGAAAACTGCATCAAATACTGCACAAATTGAATCGTCAAGAGGGCATAATGTGGCAGGTTTATAATTACTGGAAAGCGTTAATTTATGTATTCTGCGAGACATCTAATAGCCTTCCCAGCTATTTTCTTTCGTAATATCAAAAAAGCTTATGGTGATTTCTAGATCACCCAAAAACAAAGGCTGACAAAGTAATTAATACTTTTATTAATATGTTTATATTTTAGTGTTTATCACCATGTGAGATTTGGAAGTTCTTTTTAAATGAAACAGAATGCCTGCAAACCTGCGTAAGTACTGAGATAGCTCATTGTACACCTTTGAAACAAAGCAGGATGAAAAATAGAACAGCTAAAACTAGATCTTCTGCACTCACTTTTACTCTCATACACTAGATGAAACTGAAATTGTTTATAAGAGTTTTTCGCACTATTAAGAAGATGACGAAATTAGGTAACTGTCGCTCTTGATGCCTTCGTGTTGTTACAGGAACCATACAATCTCTTGCATTTCTCTTTTAAAATCTAGCTATTGTTTCTTTGTTTGTCATCGTTGCTGTTTTTTAATGAAGGATCAAATCTACCTTACGTTGTATCCATCATACTGGCTTTATCAATTCTAAGAGTAAGTTACAGCTCCTGTGTTAAGCTTCGGATTGAGTTCTATCACTCGCCTCATCCTATAGAATCCATTTTTAACCTAGGAACTAAATGCACACTATTTCGAGTGAGATTTATTGGGCGGTCCTGGCCATGTTTTTAAGTGTTCTTACAGTTCCTGTCTACATCTTCCTGGGTTCCACTTGATATGGGTTACCCCTGCGAAAATCGGCTCTGAAGAGATAAAGGCTACTTAAAATAAAATAGGGTCTGGATAAGGTTTAACAGATAGCCGAGAATTTGGTCAAAGTTTTTAACTTTTCGCTAATAGCTGAGATATGAGATCTGTAAAACTGACTGATAGCGGAAAGATTGGCTGAAATTATAACTCATATAGCGGGAAATCCCCAAATATAACTGACAAATGAGATTACAGCAGCCCCATCCAAAGCAGTATGAGGAAACCACTGCCCTACATCATTGATCGATCTTTGAAAGCAGGCTACTGGTTCTTGACACAATAGACAACGGGTCACAACGATGCTCGTCACCCCAGGTACGAGTATGTCCGGTTTTTCTAAGTGGATCGAGCGTGAAGCGAAAAAAAAGCCGCAGTGCCAGTGAAAAGATTGCTGCGCGAGATCGCCATTTTGCATTTCGGTCTTTTATTTCGCTTCGCCTTTTCGCACGCTTACTAAAAAACATGCTGCCCCCGTAACTACTCTGTCCTCGACTGAGGCATGAGGGAGCGACTTCAATGCATTCAAGGAAGAACCATAAGGGATCACATGACTTGCTACTAGCACTACATGTAATTCCTGGTTAACATGTTATTGCCTTCTCTTCAATTGCAGTTGAAATCAGGTAGTTGCAAGGCAAGTTGTAGATTTTTGACGCATATAACGAACCTCTCCTCGACATTGGTTGGAGATGGATCTACATCACCGACACCTGGAGTACCAACAGTGGCAAACAAGAATTTCACCTCAATCTCACTGAAATGGGATCCTGTGCAGAATACGACTGGTACCGCTGTGTACTTGATAGCTATGAACATAAAGGGAGATGAGGTTCTGACTTCCCCTCATTACTTCTTAGAGGTGCGCTCAAACTGTCTGTTGGCAAAGAAATATGAATGTTTTATTGTGATTTGTCTTAATAATCATTATGGTCCCCAGCCAGTATTAACGAAATGCCTCGTAGTGTGCGTCTTAACCGGAGTCTGACGTTCATTTTGTTGATGTCTAAGGTATTCACAGTGCCACAGGCCACGATAGAAACGCGACTATTGTGCGCACTAGTTGATAGGGGAAATCCAAACAGGAGGAATACCTTCGACGGATTGTACTACAAATTCCACATAGCAGCGCTTACTGAGAATTCGTCTATTAGTTACGGAGCACAAACAACTGATATATGTAAGTAGTTTGTGACATAATATTGATAACTCTCCATAGTAGCTCTCAACTTTGATCGCCTTCGTCCACAATAGTTTTGTTATTTGAGAATACAGCTAATAAAAGCACAGCGATATCTTTGTATTGGTAAAAGATAACTGGACTTTAAACACTCCCTGGGACAAAGGGGAGTAGAGACGGATGTCCCTATGGATATATCTGATTATCATTCGATGCATTTCATTTTTCATTTCATTAGCCGAGAACCCACCACGTGACCTGCAAATAACTGCCTACAAATAATGGTCTGCATGCTCATGCGTAGTACTTCTAAATGTGTTTTGCTGCAAATAATGTTCTGCTCCAGCGAAATTATAGCCACGCTCTCGTGTGAAAAATGGCAGATCGCTTCCCTGAGCTGTCAGAGAGTGAGTTAAATATGAAAACAGACTTGGTTCTCGAGTGATAAAACAATTATTGAACTCGGTTGTTGCAAAATATCGTGATTTGTCAGTGTCTCGTAGATCAATTATTTGCCTCCTCTGCTCAGCACTTACAAATAACTATATTTTCCTCAATCTCGTCCAATAATTGTTAATTATTTGCCAGCCACAAATATGAGATCAAACAACGGTACATCGATCGGGAACGCTAACGACGCTGAACAAAGATGCTTTTCACCTCAGAGTTTAATCTAATCTTCATCAGCCAATTTTAAAGCCCCATTCAACAAGTTTTTGGTGACACTTGAAACGGGATACCCTCACAAGGACTACTGAAGGAAAACTGCTCACAGCCTTTCTTCGTTATTTTTCAGCTCTGCCGCAGCCTACTCCAGTCAGTAACATAACACCTCCAAGTTTTGAATATGAAAGTGCTCGTTCGCAACGTAAACTGAAGTTGACGGTGTCTTGGGCTCCACCAGAACGTATGTATTGTGTATTTAGAAACAAAATATATGACGTATTTAACAGTAATTAAATACAATGTTTCCCTTCAGAACTAATGACTAACTCTAACTGGGTCTCTAAAACTTTCACCTCTCATCTTTAAAATCAAAAATTGATTTGTGTTTTTCTGGACTCCGCTTTCCGAGGTTAAAATTAATTTTATATAAAACCGAGGTTTTGGCCAGCTTGACTTGCCTTCTTAAGAAATTAAGAAAAACTAGTTAGATGCTAGATTCATAAAGCAACATGGACATCACCAAACGGCAGAACTAAAAACCAGATAGACCACATAATGATTGCTAAGGAATACAGATCATCAGTTATGGACACTGTAGTGCGGCGAGTAGTGGAGACTAGGCTTAAGCTGAAGTTAAAGAGAAGTCCAAGGGAAAAGGAAGGTCGAACAAGATTTGGCACGCAAAAGCTGACAGATGAAGAAATACGCAACAAATACAACATTGAGGTCAGAAACAGATTCCAGGCCTTAGAGGGATTGGAAGAAGAAGAAAATGCCGATCAAACGAACAACAGAATGGAGAATATCTATGTTGCAACTGCCAAAATGGTACTAGGGACAGCCAAGAGGGCAAGCAAACCCTGGTTATGCGGAGGAACGTGGAAGAAAGTAGAAGAAAGGAGACAACTTAAACTGAAGCTTGAAAGTACACGTTCAGAAAGAGTCAAACAAAGAATAAAGGAGCAGTATAAGGGAAAGGACCGGGAAGTGAAAAGGATTGCACGTGAAGACAAGAGGCGCTGGTTGAATGAGATGGCAGGAAATGCTGCGAGAGCGGCAGAAAATGGAAGAACTGGGGAATTACATCGAAAAGTGAAGACCTTGACGGGTGAGACGAGAAGAGTGAGTACAGCAGTAAACGATAAAACGGAAGACCGACAAATGAGGGGAGCAGAAGACTGAAGATATGGAAAGAACACTTTGACGCAGTACTCAACAAAAACCCACCTGAAAGGCCCATTCAGCCGCGTGAAATGGAAAGAAGGCAAAATGACGGAGAATTTGATATTGGACCATTTCGACCAACCGAAGTGAAAAGTGCTATAAAAGCAACGAAAAATGGAAAGGCAGCTGGACTCGATAACGTAGTAGCCGAACTTCTAAAAACAGATTTAGATGAGAGAACGCAGGAACTAACAAAACTGTTTAACAAGGTGAAGGAAGAGGGTGTAGCACCAAAAAGTTGGAATAGAGGATTGATAGTAAAGTTACCCAAGAAGGGTGACCTTCGCGATTGTACGAATTGGAGAGGTATTACACTGTTACCAGTCATCAGTAAGATCTCTGGAAGAGTGTTGATAAGTAGAATCAAAAAAGGTGTCGACAACATCCTGAGGAAGGAACAAGCAGGTCTTCGAGAGAACAGAAGTACCATTGGTCAGATCTTTGCTCTCAGGAATATACTTGAACAAGTCAACGAATGGAACGCAATTCTGTACACCCATTTCATAGACTTTGAGAAAGCGTTCGATTCTGT